AAAATAAAGAAGACAAGAACATTTTATTTTAAAGTATTCCTTACCTTTTCCAGGTCTGTGTCTTGGAATGGGAATTGTCCTACAACCTTTTTATATGTCTCTTCATTCATTACTGGTATGGGACTGTAGTTGTCAGAATCAAGTATGTTTCTAAAAAGAAAAAAAAAATAGAGAGAGGGAGGAAAGACAGGAAGGAGGGGAGGAGGTGAAGGTTGTTTAAACACAAAGACTTTGAGGAACCCTAATGATTCAGGTCTGTGTCTTGGAATGGGAATTGTCCTACAACCTTTTTATATGTCTCTTCATTCATTACTGGTATGGGACTGTAGTTGTCAGAATCAAGTATGTTTCTAAAAAGAAAAAAAAAATAGAGAGAGGGAGGAAAGACAGGAAGGAGGGGAGGAGGTGAAGGTTGTTTAAACACAAAGACTTTGAGGAACCCTAATGATTGTATATATAACACAACTTCAAATGAACATTTCTCAGTTCTTACTTAGGGTTATCTTCTAAAGAAATCAGAAAGAAAACTAAGCTCTAAAACAAGGGGAACACAACTGTAAACATGATCTCCTAGTGTCTGTGATTTACAAATAGGAGAGAAAACTATAGGCAAGTGAGAAGTAAACAAGAAAAGAATGCAGGAAAGGCAGGGACTGGTTCTGATCATTTTAGTAAGATATGTTTGATTGTAATTATGTTTTTAACTTTGTGCTAGGCATTATATATTAACAAAAAAAGGTATCAGAGAAGGAAAATAACTTCAGTAAGTCCAAGTTATGTTCATTTTATCATCCTCTCTACATCAATGACAAACTTTTTTTCATTAATTAGCACTCTCTCTCTCTCTTCCTCCCTGCCGTCCCTCCATCTCTCCCCCCTCCCTCCTTGAATACACTAAGAGTTCCCTAAAAGCAGAAACTTTCTTAACAAAATCCAAACAGAAACTCATGGAAAGTACAGAATATTATATGTATTTCATGGTGTCTCTACTACCTGTAGAGGTAACCTTCCCATAAAAACAATCATCGCCATTGAATAAACATGGCTTCTGTAAATGCAAATATTTTCATTAAGATAGGAATGAGTTTGACTAAATAATAAAGATATGCCCATAAACTGTGATGCATAAGACTAAAAGATGAAGGTAAAAGTTTCAAAGTAAAAAACTTTTAAATGCGTAAGGAGAAATAATCATGCAAAAGGCAAGGAGAGCACTTAGCAAAGGAAAATGCTGGAATTTCAGTGTGAATTGCACTGAATCTGGAGGTCATTTAGGATAATAAAGTCATTTTCATAATAATTCCACCAATCCATGTACATGGGAGGTCTTTCCCTATTCTTTTTAATTTTTTTACATGTTTTTAATTTTAGAAATATGAGTGCTCTGCCTGCATTTATGTAAGTGCACCATATGAGCACACAATGCCCACAGAGTCCATGTACACACATGGCATACCAGGCACAGGAATATACAAATGACTGCCGCTCCTCACCTGAAAATTCCTGCCCACTTCTTCAGAAGAGTTTCACTATATTGGTCTCTGATTTCTAACAGCATATCAAAAAGTTGATTCACTGGAAAACCATACACCTAAAAGAAAACAAGAAAATATATTTGTTGTCTAAGGTGTCTTTTAAAATAAACAACAAAAGAGAGATTAGGCACTGAAAGACATTTCATTATTTGGATAACAATTTAAAAGAAACCATGATAGCAAAATTGTTCATCTCTATCTAATTATATAGTGTTTAATGCCCCAAACTTAAAAGATACATGTCAAAATGCCCTAGACATAAAGAAAATGGTAAAAATTAAAACAATATATACTTTGAGGTAGGTTCTCCCTATACCTTCCCCAGTAACTTACTGCCTGCGACAACTTTCTAAAGGAAGGATGCCGTAATCTCATGCATACCTAGCTCTACTCTGCTAGACATAATATATATTTCAAATCAATGATCATTGTTAAAGATGGTAGTTGAACAAACCACAAAGTACATGGGTGTCATACTGGCATTAAATACACTTTGAAAATCTAATTTGGCAAGTGGTTCAGTTAATTTTTCTGAGAGAAAAAATGGGGAGGGAAACTATATGACAGCATAAACGTGAAGGTAAAGCCCTGGAAATACTGTAATAAGATGAAAAGACCTAGCTCTAAAAGAATATACAGTAAACATTAAAAGGTATTATCCAAGGTTAGGGAGAGGGCAAAAAGATTCAGAGCTAATGGAACTCCACCTTAAGGAGCATATAACATATAACAGAACTCACATACCTGAAGTGTATCAGCAAAAAGCACAATGAGGTTCTTCAAATCTAACACAAGGTTTGGATCAGAACAGTAAGACTAAAGGCAGGGGAAAAGGGAGAAAAATGTCTCATGAAAAAAGTAACTACATTTTTATGTATTACATTGTTTAATAATGCACCCCTGACAAAGGCACTTATAGAAAGAGTCCAACCATTTCCTGGTACAGGGAGTCACAGGTACACTCAAGAAAGAACTAAGAAGACAGAATTCAACAGACTAATTTACATTTAAATATGTGGAAATTCAAACACACTTCAAAACTTTTTTTTTCAGTCTTTTTGAGACAGGGTCTCCTTGTAGCTACAGTTGGCTTGGACCTCACTATGGAGACTAGGCTGGACTCCATCTCACTGAGATACACCTGCCTCTGCCTCTCAAACTCAGGGATTAAAGGTATGCAACCTCATGCCCAGCAACTCTTATGTTAAAAATTCCAACACTTGGGAGGCAGAGGCAGGTGGATCACTGTGAATTCAAGGGCAGCCAGAGCTGCAGAAAAAAAAAAACAAAAAAAGAAGGAAAAGAGGGAAGGAGGGGAAAAGGGAGGGAGGGAAGAAGGGAGGGAGGGACCAAGATTGGGACCAGCAAGACTGTTCATCAAGTAAAGGTGCTTGCTGCTCTTCTATCCAAGTCTGACCATCTGGATTTGATCCCCAGAATACACATAAAGATAGAGAAGAAAACCAACTCCCCAAAGTTGTTCTCTCATTTCCACACATGTACTGTAGCATGAACCTCCCCACACATATCAAATACCCATACATACAGTAATTATAAATTAAAATTTAAACCAAAATTGACACAGATTATTTGAAAATGAACAACGAATACTTCATTCAAAACCTACAGTGTATGTCTAAAACCTTTTCCAAAATAATTGTACACCTTTAAATGCAAACATTAGGAAATACAAAAGATTTATTTATCCAAACTAAACACTGAACTCATGAAACTACAGGGAATAAAGCCAAATAAATAATAATTGTGTAAGAAAATTAAATGAATAAAATTAAAGAAAGAAATTAGTGACATAGAAAAGACAAAGAAGATCCATCATTTAAACCAAAAGCCCAATATAAACATGGAATTATTAAGACAGACATCTCAAACATGTCTGATTAACCAAAATGAAAAATGACACGAAACAATACATAAAATATAAAATAAATATAAATACAAAGGAAAGAAAAATTAAATTACAAAGAGTGTCCCTATGTAACCTCCGCGGTACTAATTTGGTGACTGACATGGAAGATGCTTCCATGGAGAGAGTATAAAGATGGCTAGCACTCTCTGCCTACTACTTTAAAGTTCCTTGATTCTGATATTTCAATTTTCTCGCTTATACTTTTCCTCCTAATCTCCAGGACCTGAGAGAGGTATGTTGAATTTCAATGTGGCAATGCAATTCTATTTGCCTTCTAGTATATTAACGTTTTTTTTTTTTTTGCCTCTCTTTTTATTTAAAATAAATAAGTATTCCTTAAAAAGGAATAACTTTCTAATTCTTTGACAATTTCAAGGATTACTGAAATTCTGGAGCTATTCAAAGCCCTCCATTTTTTCCATTTTTTCCAAAATTTCTTACCATGTATTTTATTAAATAACATCTTATAATTACCCCACAGTAGTTAAGAAATACTGTTAACCTGAAAAGCTCTGGAGTAGCCACTGAAATATTTTCTGCATGGAATGGCTCACCTTTTATAGGAATAATTAAAACAATAAAAATGACAAACAGTCCTCATGTCTGCCTAGATTTGCAGTAATTCATCCTGCTGTCATTCAAGGCATCCTTTCCACTTTAAGAAATTCTTTTCTACTATTCTATTATTACAGGCCCCTGTTTGACAGGATTTTTTTTCCCTTGATCTCAATTAGATATATGCAAAAGTTTACATTAATATCCATACTTCTTAGCTATGTCCCTCTCTCTGTGATTTTGATGTATACTTTTGACTTTGACTTTATCTTCTTGCTCATGACATTATGTGTAGTCTTAATCTTCGCACTGAATTTCTCTTTCTCTGATGCTCATAATTTCCAAAGAACCATTTTTATCTTGGATTCAACTTTTCTAGCCTCCAAGGCACCTGCATACATATGGCATATGCTCACACAGACACACAGACACACACACAAATAAATAAATAAAAAACAAAAGTAAATCTTTACAAACTTTTTGTTAAATATTTCTACTATTTTGCCTCTAGTGTTTCCTATGAGCTAAGCCCAATAGGTAGCTGGCTGGCACAAGCCTAGGCATCTCAACCTAGGCACTGTAAACTGTAGCAGAAGGCTGATTTGGGAGCTAGAAGCAAAGAGCTTAGCATTCCATTTCAGGAATCATTTAGACTTATGTATTCACGTGTACCACAACATGAGGTGTTTTCTGATTGAATAAATATGAAGCACATCAAAATTTAAAAGTCTACTTATCTATATAGTTGAATCAGTAATTAATTCAGAACTAGCAATCCTCTGCCTGAAATAAATTAGACCATCATAAAAAGGTTATACTAAGATATAAAAATAGATATATGGGACTTGATAATTAGGCCTCTTAATACATCATAAACTTTTTTCCCAAAAATAACAGCAAAAACTGATAGAAATGGAAATCATTATGGTAAGCCAAATAAACCAGACTCAGAAAGACAAATAACATGTTTTCTCTTGTATGAGGAATCTAAATTTAAAAGTGTGTGTGTGTGTGTGTGTGTATGTGTGTGTACAAAAAAAAATCAGTAGACTGTGACCTCCCCATCATTGACTATATATCTATAGCATTAATAAGTACAGCAGAGGGCAAAATAAATCAGAAGCATCTGAGCATCTGAGCATGTCCTCTGTCTAGATTTGATTCTAAATTCCACTTCTTATTGTGGGACACAGGTTGGTTAGCTCATCATTCTAAGGCCAGTTCCCAAGAGTACAAAGTAAACATTAATGATATTAATGATAACAGATGGCTTTTGTACTGTTTCAGTACTGATGCAGTAAGACTATGTATATGAAATACATAGAATACTGCTTACACAGAAAAGCACAGGCAGACATGAGCTGCTGTTTAGAACTGTAGAGAACATCAACAAAGCAAGCTTACTATTAACACAGTTCAGTCATCTAAATGTACCACTTCAGTATGTCTCTAAATGGGGGTAGGGGGGCACCAAGAGCACATATGCTGCTTTTAAATCATAAAACACAAAGCAAGATATGGATAGTCAACAATAAGCAAGAACTTTCTGATGCGCCTTACATACCGAGTGGGCACGGAGTGCTGCAATGGTTTTGGAAAGTGCCATTTCCCATAATTCATCAATGTAGGCTCTATTTACTAAGCCCTGGGTTGTATGTAAAATATGATCTTCAACCACAAAAAAGCTGAGATTTGGAAGAAGAGAAAGCACAGATGTCAGAAATTAGAGTTAACATGATTGTTAATCTTTGGCATTAAAAGCTACAGTGTCTGATTCAAAGGTAATATTAATTTTTTTCTAAAGAAAGCTATTCAGTATCATAAATGAAATTAATTCATAGACTAAGAATATGTCCACATTATATTAATGTATTATTAACCACTTTCACAAAGACTGGACTGACATTTTTTCTCATAAATGTTAATCATATAACCCAGCAATTTATAAAAGAGAAAAAAAATGTAGTTAAGAGAGGCTAATTTAAATATATTTAAAAAATACAAGTCATTAATACATTTCAAAAAGCTAACAAATTATAAACAGATAATAAACACTAAGATGTATATATTTTTAAGAATTCAACATACAGCATATTAAAATAATACCGCTAGCCAGGCCTATAACCCAAAGACTCAGGAGGAAGAAACAAGAGGCCTTGAAAGTTGAAGACCTACCTGAGCTACCGAATGAGCTCAAGGCAAGTTGAATGAGATCTTGATTCAAAATAAAAAGTCGGATCTAGGATATAGTTGTTTGCTTAGGCCCTATGTTCAATTTTCTGAGCTCCTTGGTATCTGAGCATGGATATAAAGTCATCAGGTAGATTTCAATGGTAATGTTTTTCACATCCACCAATTATTAAGGAGCAAATTTTTATGCTTTGAAGAATCATTTTTTTTTACACACACTTCATCGATTACTTTTTTTTCTTGAAGCAGAGTCTCATGCAACTCAGGCTGGCCTTTAAACTCCCTATGTAGCCGAGGAAGACTGTGAAGACTAAATGATCCTCCTGCCTCCACCTCTCCAGTGCTTGGATTACAGGTGTGCACTACCTGCTTTTATGCAATGCTGTGGATCAAATCCATACATGCATCCTACCAACTGAACTACATCTTCCTACCCTTAATGATATATATAATCAAAGTTATTAATTATATTGAAGCAATCTAAATCTGATAAAAGAAAGGAAGGTTAGGAGAAAGGGAAGGAGGAAGGGAAGGGAAGGGAAGGGAAGGGAAGAAAGGAAGACTATTTGGAAGAATCAAACTTACGTACTTTTCTTTAAACTATAGTCCACATCTTACAGTTGGAACAAGCTGCCTGTAGTTGGTGTTTATTTGGTAACTCTAATTTGACACTACTTTTATCTACTCTAGATGAGAACCAAAAACTATAGCCCATGGGATCAGCTTGGCCTGCCACCTGTTTGATGAGGTATGTTCTATTGTAACATAGTCAAGCTCATGGCTTTACAAATCATACACAGCTGCATTCAGACTGCAGCAGAGACAAATAGTTGTGACAGAGTTCCTAGGTCCTACTAGGAGTAAAATACTTTACTGTCTGCCACACTTGGAAAAAGTTTCCCAATGTTGCTAATTATTTGGTTCCATATTGGAACCAAGAATGGAGAACCAAAATAATTTTAATATTACAAGTCAATGTCCATCTCTTTAGTCACCAAAAGTATCCTCTAAGAATAAAATGTACAAACCAGTAAGATGTCCCTTTCATTGTTTGTTTGTTTCTATGAAGCCCAGGCTAATCTCAACCTCAGCCTCCCCAGTACTGAGTTATAGGTGTGTCCTACCATACCCAGTAAAATGGTCCTTTCAAATGATAAGAAAATGAGTGCTAAATCTTTTCTTTAATGTTTACAAGAAAAAGAAAGAAAATTTCCCAAGGAAAGAAATTATTTTTAAAAGTCTTACAAATCCATATACTGAAAACATATATATTTAAATATATATATATATATATATATATACCTACCCTACAATTTGATTAAAATACTTCCTGTAGCCATCTAAAGTTTCATGCTGCAACAAAGCAAAGCAGAATTATTGTTTTTGTGTTATTATTACTTTAAGATCTGAAGATCAGTTATTTACTCTTAATTCCTTAGACTAAGATGTAAATATAACATCATGTTGTTGCTAATCCTATGTTGTCACAAAAGAATGAACTGAAATGATGTAGAGCTAAAACAGGGATGGCTGGCACACAGTTGTCAAAAGATGTTTCTTGCTATTCTTACTTCAGGGCACATTCAGCAAAAGCTGTCTGAGAATCAATCAATCAATCAATCAATCTCTCTCTCTCACTTTCTCTCTCTTGCTCTCGCTTTCTCGGTCACCCCCTGCCCCCCGCCCGCCATCATCCTATCATGGAAAAACAGGGAAAGTGCACAGAAAGTGTTGGTGGTTATCCTACCATGTTAGATGGAGGCTGGAGCACCAAACGAGCCTGTTTTCGCCTTTGCTTTCGGTAGTAATTCTCAAATGTTTCTCGGGCACTCTATAAAATAAGCAAGATGAAACAAACTCACACAACTAGACCAGTTATTCTTTGAGTTGGAGCGAACAGAGGAGGTTCTAAGTGTAGAATTGGAGAAACACCACATATCTCAACATCTGCATTCAAATAATTATATATAATCACAACACATAAAAGCAACCATTATCATTTATTAACTTGATAGAAACGCCCTAAGGTTGGATAGGAAAAACCTTTACAATGACATGATCAGAACTCAATCTTTAGTACACCAAGCTGGTTTCTGAGTCAACAATCATAAATTCACAAAAATGAAATCAAAGCAACCTTCACATTGGTTATAGTAACAGGAGAGAAAATATCCCTTCAAAAACTAACAGAACATTCCAGAAGAAAAATGCCCAGAATGAAAGCCAGTCTTCAAATCAGTCATGAGCAAGGAGTAAACAGAAAGTGAGAAAGGTGAGCTGAGGACAGGACCCCCTTCCCAGACAGAGGCTAATCTCAAAATGAAGGACCCAAAACAGAAGAAACAATTCATCAATGTTTCCAGTTTTCCCCCATGCAGGGGTGTTTAACTTTGACACTGTGACATGATCTTCTGCTGTACAAATATGTTAGACTGCATTCATAGATCTCTTTAGACACACATACCTAATAGGGTTTTGAGAAATCCACATGAGGAGTACTTAGAACAACATCTGGCTCACAAGCTTCACTCAAGAGCTCTGTTCTGGGTTGCACAATTTCCCCCTCAAAACCAACATCTTTCCCAGAATCTCCAAAATAATAGCTGGAATAAGCAACAATTGTGGCATAATCAGTCAAATTACGGTGTGATCATGCCCACTGTAGGGAAGTCCTTAATACACTATGGCTGGTGTTTCCAGAAAAACAGAAAGAAGGACACGGACAGGGAGAATGGTTTGTGTTTAAAGAGGCAGAGGTGGCTCAATACAGATCCAAGTCCAAGAGCACCAAGGGCTACTGGGCACCACAGATGCCAGGAAGAAGTAAAGACAATTCTTCCTGGAGTCTCAAAGGGAGTGTGGCCTCTTGGATGCCTTGAATTTGTAATTCAATCTTCTATAATTGGGATAGAAAAAGTTTTGTTGCCATAAGCCATGTAGTTTGTGGTACTTTGTTACAGCAGCTCTAGGAAAACAATATAAGCTCAAAAGTGGATGTAATATTATGCCCCACTGTGACTAAATGGTCTTAATCCAAGACTTTTCTTACCATCAAAAAAGCAAAAAGGGAAAACAGTATACCACAGAGGTCGAGAGCACTCATTTCAGAGTCAGGCTGACGGCATTCCAATTATGACCCTGCCCTTCCTAGCTATGTAACCATGCTCTCTTCTGCTCGGTTCTTTCATTGTCTTTTCTACTTAACTCTAGCTTATGCTTGTGCAGTGCTTTTCTTAGCTGAGGAGATGCCAACCTCACAGGGCTATTACGTGGACTTAGAAGAACGATAAAGTTCTTAGAACAGTGTCTGATCAACAAGAGGCATTTACATAAATGCTTATTTCTTTTTGTTTTTTTTAGAAATGAACAAGATGAAATCAATGATGAAAGTGAAAGAACTGCTGTCTCTTGCATTATCTAGTCATTCTCCTTCACTCCCTAAAAAAACTGAAGTTTATTCAACATGACTTCTTTGTTATATTGTCATCTAGACTGGACCTGAACTGGGAAAATTGACTTAAGGCATAACCATGCAAACACCAATGCAACTCAGAAATGAGCAAACATTTTCTGTAAAGGGGAGAACAGCCCATCCTTTAGGATGATTGGCAGCTGATCCACTAGGTTCCCCTGTGCTGACGGGGCAGCAACAGATAATGCATAAAGGAGCTTGGCCATGTACCAAAAAACTTCTTTAGAGAAACTGAAATAAGAGTATCATATAATTTCACCTGTCACAAAATATTATTCCTTTTTATGTTAAAAATGTAAAACTGTTTAAGTTCACAGACTACATAGACACAGGCTAGCAAGCTGGACTTGGAACCTGGGTCATGGTTGTTGAGCTCTGATGTCTTAAAACAAGCATCTTAAAATGCTAATGTGATTATAACTATATATACTACAAGTAATTTTTGGCTATAAAATGAAACAAAATAGTAGAATGGCTATTTCAGGACTTTCACCATCCACCAGTAATGAGGAGGATTATTGGATTTATTATTGAATTTATTAAATAAGAAGTAGAGACTGCCATTTGATTTTCTAAGGCTGTTCCCTACTTGTCACCAGCACAGTGATGGTATTAAATGCCATTTGCATTTTGTACACACTGAAAGACTTTTCATTTTAAGGTTAACAATCATAAAGGATCTTTATTATTTGAGCATGACATTATATATTCAACATGCTTTAGAGCCAAGATACACTGACCTAAGAATTTAGGCAAGGTCTTCTTTCTAATCATACTGTAAGACACTAATTTGACTCCTTTGTTGTAAATAAAAAGAATATATATGATGAAATTCTATATAAAAACTAAAACACGGATTTCTCTACTTAATTCTAGACTGGTTATGGCTTAACTTTCAAATTTTCCTTCAACAAGAGAGAAAAAAAAAAAGGCCAATTTATCTAATAAGTCTGGCTTTGCCATTTACAAAAATTAGTTGGATTTTCCCTAGTGGGTATTAAATAAA